TGTGGTGCTCCGAGGTAAAGATATAATTAAATATAGCATATGTAAATATAATGTATTTAATTATATCCACAAATTATCTAGTTCAGAATTCTAAACTTTAAATTACCCTACATTACAAACATTTCAAGCCCCTTCAAATTATAAACACTATCCCTCTTAACAAAGTTGGATTGTATATTAGGTGGCAATACATATTTTTGAGCCTGTTATATAATCAACAGAATCCAAAAATCTACCAATTCCCCAAATTTCAACAGTTCCCATTGTTTAAACAGAATATTTGTAGGGTGATAATATTTTATTGTTACGATTCTTCATGTTATTACAAAATAAAAAGTGGATTTGTAAATGTTTTACACGCACTCCCCCAGACCTCAACACAATATGTGGCACAACTATAGCATTATATAATATAAGTAATGCATTAAATATGTCTATGGGATCTCCATGTCAGATTTTCATCAGTAATAACCCCCAAAAACCTCACTTATTCTAATGCCACCAATTTACATATATCCTAACTAGAGATCGACTGATACAGGTTTTTTAAGGCCYATACGATACCAATTTTTTTTACATTAGTCTAACCGATACGCCGATACGTGCAACCGATTTTTTTGGCAGATTCTTGAAGCCGATACTACTTTTTCTTTCTCCATTTACATGATAAAAATAAGAATGATAACAAATGTTACACAGGTCTCAATTTAAAACAAAACAAACAAACAAACATTTATTAACTAAGCCTTGTCTGGTGCAGGCTATATGAAGTGCTGCCACACAGGATTTCTTCTTTCAGCCCTTTCTTAAAAAAATTAATAAATTCATGATTTATTTTATCTAGTGCTAAATATTCTGTTCTTATTTGGATATTAATAAGAATAATATATTTTTGATGCAAAAACAGCAACATGAGGAACACAGAGAAAGAAAAAGGAGACACACACATACATCTTGCTATCTTTGTGAGGACTTCACACACACACACATGCAGCGCTCACAGTCTGACTCAATTTGCACCTGTTTTTTTACACCAGGCAAAAAATGCATTTAAACCAGCTGACGTTAACTTTAGATCACAGTTTGAAATGTACACCGAAGAGAACCAGCATCACGACTTTAATACTGCAGTCAGAGCAAACGTGATCTGAGCAGCGTCTGCCTGGTTCACGTGTTGTTAACATGGACYGCAGCGCTTTACTCGCTCGTAACAGTGAGAAAAGACCGGGAGCTTTTTATTTTTAATCCAGCAGGGAGAACAACAGAGGTGTTCTTTTATGCCTCCTGTGAGCAGTTCC